CCAACACCTCTCAAACAGTTGCACTGGAATACTTTAACCCAACCATTTCCGAATCCTCTCTTCATGTTGCGAGCCTTGCCCCGATTCCCAAACTACTGTTTTACTTTGTTCACCGCAACTTGATTCCTAGGCTAGAAGGGAGATTCACACCCTCTAGAGTTGAACTGGCATATATGTACCTTTTAGCCAACAAAGTTCCTATCAACCTTCCTGGATTGATGATGGCCCATCTAAGTTCTATCATCAGTTCCTCATCCCGAAGGATTGGGATTCCATATGCCCCACTACTCACCAAAATATTTCTATCTAAGGGCATTACTCTAGACAAATTCTCCTCTGAAGAAGCTTGCAAGGTCCTGGACAAGAGATGTCTCAGCAATCTAGGACTAATTATATCAAATTCTCACCTTCTTCCTAAACCAACAGATCCCTCTTCTTCAGAACAAAAACCCAGACCCAAACCAACTCATGTTCCTTCCGTCGACCCAATGATGGTGGTACCCCCAATCACTGACCGCATAGATCTCCTGGAACGTTATCTTCAACACCAATTTGCTTCCCTTTCAGACTCCATCTCTGCATTGGCAAAAAAGGTGGACACACTGGCTGACACAACCAATGCTATTCGGAATGATTTCCAATCCTTCAAACAGGAAGTGACGGAGCGACTCTGTGAATCTGGCTCGACTAATCGAAGAATAATTTATTCTTCTGAGGATGATTAAACATTTCTTTTCTGGGGGAGGGTTTTTGCTACATTAACATCTTAACAAGCTGTCCTACTTTGAAATTTTACTTTGCACTGTTTTGGTTATTTTCTGTTTCCTTTTGGTTGATGCCAAAAGGGGGAAATAATCAGGTGCCTGCTTATTTTGCTACATAAAAACACCGACTGTTACTAATCTGCAGGGACACCTTTATTATGGCACCTAATGTTTGTCATCAACAAAAAGGGGGAATTTGTTGAATATGTTGTTTTGTTGATGACTAACCATGTAGGTGGAATGGCGGACAGAACTGCTCTCAGTTCTATTAGGAATGAAAATTAGAACTATACTTAGTTCTGATCTATATGACTGATTGTTGTGCATAATGAATAAATTAATATGTGCCTGCATGATAATACCTCATCTACGTGCCTAGATTGATCATGCATATTCTTAATGTACGTGGCACAATTTAAATATCTTTCCATGTATGACTAAGCACTCACCTTTATGAGTTGGCCTATATAGCTTTATAGCTTATGGAAAGAATCATTGTTTATGCTACATAAATATCCTGCATAAATTGACCGTAGCATATTTGGATCCACTAAGTAAATATTTCCTTATCACTTAATGTTAAAAAGTCATTATATTAAAAGATAAATTTTGGAAAGTATCTTGGCTTGCATGATCTGTAGCACCTTATTTGAATATCTTACTTATATGATCGTTACATATTCAAACTTGTTAAAGAGAACTAATCATTGATTGTATAAAAATGTTGTTGCTACATAATGTCCGTTGGATGCTTATATTAAGAGAATAAAATATTCTCCTTATATGTGATGATATATATATTCATTGCAATACGTAATATTCTCCATATCTGTTTTGTTATTGAGTGATTTAGTCATAGTATGCACGTATCCACTTACTTCCATATATATATGGTTGACCGAGGATCACCATATTTGTGAGCCGGAAGATCTTTGAATAAAAGGAAAGAAGAGGCTACGGATGCTATATATATTGGACTAAAGACCAGACGAAAGGGTGTGCTTGACCAAGCTTCTATTGAGAAATATACACAAGAATATCTACTAAGTCCAAGGCACCTGAACCTGCTCACGGAGTTCCAAACAGAGTTTCCTTTTCCTTTCTTCATATTGTAATTGGGTTTTTTGAGGATTGACTAAGTGTAGCATCCTCGGGTCAGTTAGTGTGTTGTGAGAGCTTTGTTGTAAAGCTGAGAGGCTCTCTACCCACAAGGTAGAGAAGCATAACTCTTCCTAGAGAGGATAGAGTTGGGGTGGCTCAAGGGTAGACTAGGAGAGTTTCCCTTGTAATCAATCAAAGGCTTTTTAGTGAAGTTGTTCAAATTCCTCCGAGGGAGGTCGAGGTTTTTTAATCCCTTTGAGCCAAGGGATTTTTCCTCGTTAAATCCTTGTGCACTTTATTATTTCGTAAATCCCTGAACCCCACACTAGAATTGTGCGAAAAACTGTCACGGTTCCACACACACACACAATTCACCCCCCCCCCCCCCCCCCCCCCCCCCTCTTGTGTTGCTAACCGTTTCATCATTCCAACTATTCCTGATTAGGAATTATTATCACCATTGTATAAATAATTAGGAAATCATAATTATGATTCTAGATGATAATTTTGTGGTTCACAATTATCCTCTAATCCTAATAAACTTAGTTTTTCTCCTATAAATAGGAGTCTTCTCCATGGTAATTAACACACCTTGATTACACCATTAGAACATCTCTAATACACCTCTATCACTAAGTGTTCATACTATATTTTCTCTCCCTTATCTTCCTGCTTATTTCCTTCCATTTTATAACATGTTATCGGCACGAATTTGCTCCAAATCCTTGAAATCATCATCTTCCCAACAGGTATATATTTTTCAGGAATTTATCAATTCATCTGAGAAAAAAAATTAGAGGATGAGAAGTATAAACATGTTTATATATAAATATATTCAAAACTATAAGAAGTATGCTCTATGGTTGCCCAACCGTTGGGATCCTCCATATCAGAAAATTATAGCTATATTTTCTTTTAAGAAAAATGAAGAAGGAAATGATAAACATACCTTTGATCACTATTATCTTTAAATATACTGCTCCTTTATTAAAATCTGAACTCTTACTTCCGAGTGAATTTACATCACGTATGGATTCTCACTTATATATGAATATATATACTGATACTTCGTATATGATAATATGATGTTTATGAGGTATAACCAGAGAAAAACTATCAACATAAAGTATAAGGATAGAACTCACTAATATGAAATCGGATCTTCTTAAATAAAACATTTGAGCTATAGTCATATAATATCCCATGTCGGCTATTTTTGTAGAGCTTCCAATTTTCTACTCCATACTACTCCGTATATAATATTCCGTAAGCTTTCCATTATAGGCATATAAAATCTGACTAAAAGATACTGTAAAAGAAAGAGACATACTTCTTCATGATATTTTTCTCATTTGCTGGAACTAGCAAATTAGATTGAACATGCATATCAACACATGTACAGTATCTATATATACTACTCCGTAATAGATTATAATAAAAGGAAGAATGCTTCTGAAAGTTCGTAGATAACAGAACGAGAGAGAAAGAGATAGGGAGTAATGTGAAGAAAGAAAATAATATGGAGTAGTTACTACGTATTATACATCTTGACTTCATATGCTCAATTTACATACATAATCAAAGTGACGGGTGTACTGCATACTAGACATCATTTCTTTGTTCTCATGTGTAGTAGAATAATGCATAATGTATGACACATCACATGGTCATTAATTGCATGACATCTATCTTTTAAAGTATACCATACAAATACAATCTTAAAATTGAAGTGGGTCCTAATTCCCAATTTTTTCGTCCAAATAATAGTAATGTATGGTTTCAATTTGTTTTGTTTCAAAATTCTCAATATAGTGCATATGCATGTGAATGATGTGAGACATGTCAATTAAAGGTTAATTTGATTCTAATGAAAGTAAGTCTTTGATAGTGCTCAATATTTGACGTGTGTATATACAAACGTAGTACATGCCTTTTAATTAAGGAGATGTGTTCATGAATCTGCGAAGGGGGTGAACTACATACGTATGAACTAGTATAAGTGATACATATTATCCTAGTATTTTGAATAACGAACAAATTGGAATAATATTAAACCTGCTTTGATGACTTACTCAAACTTAACCGTACTGTCGTAATAGTAATTATACTAAATTAATTGAGTTATGAATTTATAAAATACAGAGTACGTAGCTTATATGTATACGTACTGACTACTCTGAACTAAACAACAAGTGATTTTCGACTTGTTTTGACATTATTGATGTTTATTATCACTCCCCTATTTCACTTTCATTCACGTGAGCTGAATCCAAAAAAACAACGTGGTTGTACCCATTTCTTTAAATGTCTTTATCTATATCAAAACATCTTTCAACGAAAAATCACGAGCATAAGTTTTGCAATTTAAGGATCTTTGGTAATCGAGTTGCATGATCTATGATTGTTAAGATGGGCTCCTTAACAATTGGTATGACAGTAACTTGAGCCAACCGGTTATTATGTTTGTTTCTATCAATTGCCGGGAATAATTAAACTCCCTATAACGGCACTTATGATTGATTTTAACCTCAAGTGATGAGGTAGAAATTAATATGAAGTAAATATGTGAGCTAAATTACTTCTCTTATTAAAAGTCGGAATAGAGTACCTCACTCTATTTTCTCCTTGTTATGTAATATGGAGTATATTTTAAAATAAAAATTTAAAGTGCTTATTTTTAACGTGAAAGTTATGCATAATTAAATGTACTATTAAGTAAAGTACAATTTATATTACAATATTGAACTCAAATTGTAAAGTGTTCATTTTTATCTTTTTAAAGATATGGAGTTAACTCAAATTTCTCCAAGTGGCTTTGAACAATGTTTGATAGACAGTGCCACAACGCACACCATTTTGAGACATAGAGATTAGTTTTCTCATATGACATTAGTTGATGCTAATGTCAATACAATCTCAGGTGTTGCTAAATCCATTGAAGGTTCTCGAATAGCCTGTGTGATTCTCCCAAAAGGGACAAAATTAATAATTAAACATGCTTTATACTCCAGTATATCACGGAGAAATCTTTTGAGTTTCAAAGATATGCGTCTAAATGATTTTCACATTGAAACCATGTCTGAAAATCAAAAGGAATATTTATGTCTAACGACAAATAGATTTGGCAATAAATACATTTCTGAAAAAATGCCAGCATATTCCTCCGGACTATATTATACACATATCAGTCCAATTGAGATAAATGTGGTATCTAAAATTAATGACCACAATTCCTTTATCTTGTGGCATGATCGTTTAGGTCATCCAGGCAGCATTATGATGCACAAAATTATTCAAAATTCACTTGGACATTCATTAAATAATGTCAAAATTCCACAATTAAGTGATTTCTCGTGCACTGCCTGTTCTCTTGGAAAATTAATTATTAGGCCATCTTTATACAAAATTGGAGTTGAATCTCCTACATTTTTAGAAAGAGTTCAAGGAGATATTTGTGGGCCAATTGCTCCTCCGTGTGGACCCTTTCGATACTTTATGGTGCTCATTGATGCATCAACACGTTGGTCACACGTCAGTCTTTTATTGACTAGAAATTTTGTATTTGCAAATCCCTTGCTCAAATTATTCGTTTGAGATCACAATTTCCGGATTATTCAATAAAGAAAATCCGACTCGATAATGCAGGGGAATTTACATCCCAATCTTTAATGACTATTGCATGTCAATTGGGATTGATGTGGAACATCCAGTTCCACATGTGCATACACAAAATGGTCTTGCTGAATCCTTAATTAAGCGATTACAATTAATTGATAGACCATTATTGATGAAATCAAGATTACCATCATGTGCATGTGGATATGCTATAATGCATGCTGCAAATTTAATTCGGCTTAGGCCAACTGCATATCATAAATTTTCCCCATTGCAATTAATATCTGGTAAAGAACCAAATATATCACACATAAAAATATTTGGTTATTCTGTGTATGTACCAATTGCTCCACCTTATCGTACTAAAATGGGTCCTCAAAGAAGGCTGAGAATTTATGTTGGTTTTAAATCTCCCTCAATTATTAATTATCTAGAACCTATGACTGGTGACTTATTCACCGCACGGTTCGATGACTGTCATTTTGATGAGACAGTATTCTCAGCCTTAGGGGCAGATAATAAAGAAATGGACCCACATACGAAAGATATTACTTGGAATGCAACAAATTTATCTTTTCTAGATTCTCGCACAAATGCTTGTGAACAAGAAATTCAAAAGATCATTCATTTAAAAAATGTTGCAACCCAATTGCCTGATGTTTTCACAGACTCAAAGAAAGTGACAGTCACATATTCCAGCTATGAATGCCCCTTCTCGAATAGAAACTCATGCGGAGATTAGCGAAAGAACTCTTGCTAATGAATCTATGATACGTAAAAAACGTGGTAGACCGCTTGGTTCAAGAGATTTGAAACCAAGAAAATTTAAAAAGCAAGATGTAGTTTGTGATGCCAAAGAAGTTCAACCTTCTCAAGAAGAAAATGAACATTTTGAAAATATCAACTTTGAAGATAACACCAATAATAATGATACCTCAAAAGAGGATCCAATCATCTTTGAAGAGGTAAATATTCCAGACAAAGATAGAAACGTCGATAATTTCGAAATTTCAATCAATTACGTTTCTAATGGAATACAATGGAATAGAAAAGATATTGATGTTAATGATATATTTTCATATGTCATCGCCACAGATATAATGAATGAACACGATGACAATGAGCCCAAATCTATTGACGAATGTCGTCGTAGAAACGATTGGCCAAAATGGAATGAAGCGATTCAGGTAGAACTAAAATCGCTAGAAAAGCGTAATGTTTTTGGACCAATTGTCCACACGCCAAAAGACGTAAAACCTGTAGGTTTTAAATGGGTGTTTGTGCGTAAACGCAATGAGAAAAATGAAATCGTTAGATACAAAGCCTGACTTGTTGCCCAAGGTTTTTCTCAAATGCCAGGAATCGATTATGATGAGACGTATTCTCCAGTAGTTGATGCTACCACTTTACGATTTTTAATTGGCATGTCTATTTTTGAAAGGCTGCAAATGCGCCTAATGGATGTAGTGACCACATACTTATATGGTTCACTCGATACAGACATATATATGAGAATTCCCAGAGGCTTTAAAATACATGATGCTTATAGCTCAAAATCTCGAGATTTATTTTCCATAAAATTGCAAAAGTCATTATATGGATTAAAACAATCTGGACGCATGTGGTATAACCGTCTAAGTGAATATTTGATCAAAGAAGGATATAAAAATGATCCTATTAGCCCATGTGTTTTCATTCAGCGATCTGAATCAGGATTCGCCATAATTGCAGTATATGTTGATGATTTGAATATAATCGGAACTCCCAATGAAATTGAAAATACTGCTAAATATCTCATGAAAGAATTTGAAATGAAAGACCTTGGGAGAACAAAATTTTGTCTCGGCATTCAAATTGAACATTTGAGAAATGATATTTTTATCCACCAATCAAATTATACCGAAAAACTTTTGAAGCGGTTTTACATGGAAAAAGCTCATCCACTCAATTCTCAAATGGTGATTCGATCTCTCAATGTGCATGATGATCCTTTTCGACCCTGTGAAGATGATGAAGAAATCATTGGTCCCGAAATACCATATTTGAGTGCTATTGGAGCGTTAATGTATTTGGCTAATAATAGCCGACCAGATATTGTTTTTTCTGTAAATTCATTAGCCAAGTACAGTTCTTCCCCGACAAGAAGACATTGGAATGACGTAAAACATATATTCCGCTATCTCAATGGTACAATCGATCTTGGATTGTATTTCAAGAATAATGCAAATGCCACTTCAATTGGCTATGCCGATGCATGATACTTGTCTGATCCACAAAAGGCAAAATCACAAACAGGATATGTATTCACCTATGGTGATACCGCTATCTCATGGAGATCAATGAAGCAAACATTAACTGCCACATCATCAAATCATGCAGAATTAATTGCTCTTTATGAAGCAGGTCGAGAATGTGTCTGGTTGAAATCAATGATCCAGCACATACAAAATGAATGCGGTATAAAATCCTTTACTTGTAATCCTACTGTGATTTATGAAGATAACACAGCATGTATAGCTCAGATCAAAGGAGGTTACATCAAAGGGGATAGAACAAAGCATATAGCACCAAAACTTTTCTCCACACATGATCTTGAGAAAGAAGGAATAGTTGATGTCAAACAAATCAAGTCCTGCGACAACCCTGCTGATTTATTCACAAAGTCATTGGCACCGAAGAAATTTGAAGAACTAGTCCACAAAATTGGAATGTGTCGTCTTCGAGATATATGTTAAATTGGGGGAGGTTAATATAATACACTCCACTCTTTTTCCCTTCGCCAGGTTTTTATCCCACTGGATTTGTCCTGACAAAGGTTTTTAATGAGACAGTACATTATATACTATGATACTAATACCCCAGAATAATTAGAAGACCATTCAAGGGGGAGTGTTGAAATATATTGAATTAAGTCATCTTCCAACTATTCCTGATTAGGAATTATTATCACCATTGTATAAATAATAAGGAAATCATAATTATGATTCTAGATGATAATTGTGTGGTTCACAATTATCCTCTAATCCTAATAAGCTTAGCTTTTCTCTTATAAATAGGAGTCTTCTCCATTGTAATTAACACACCTTGATTACACCATTAGAACATCTCTAATACACCTCTATGGCTCTATCACTAAGTGTTCATACTATATTTTCTCTCCATGATCTTCCTGCTTATTTCCTTCCATTTTATAACAATGTCCAAATTTATATAGTTTTGATCTAGATTGTTGTTAATACATCTCATATATGTCTCCAAACATTTGTTAACTATTTCAGTCTGTCCATCAGTTTGTGGATGGAAGGCAGATGATAGCTTGAATTGGGTTCCTTGTATAAAAAACAGTCCTTTCCAGAATTGACTCAGAAATACAACATCTCACTTACAATGCTCTTGGGCCATCCATACGATTTAAAGATATTATCCAAATAAGCTTGCGCTACTTCTATGGTAGTAAAGGGACAGGATAGTGCTACAAAATGAGCCCCTTTACTAAGTCTATCTACCACTACTAGTATCACATCCTTCCCTTGTGATTTAGGTAATCCAGTTATGAAATCCAACAAAATATCTACCCAGACTTCTTCTGGAATGGGCAAAGGCTGTAACAAGCCTGGATAAGCAACATTTTCATGCTTATTTTCTTGACAAACTAAGCACTGCCTCACACAGTTGTTAATATCCTTATTAAGACCCTTCCAATAGAACACGGTTTTAATTCTTCTCATAGTTGCATCCCTTCCTGAATGCCCTGCTTCTCCTGAAGTATGATGCCAATTCAAAATCTTATTCTTCACATTAATATCATTCCCAATGACAATTTTTCCATTTCTTCTTAGTAATCCATTATGGATAGAATATTTATCCACTGATTGACTCTGCTGCAACAACTGCATTACTGTGGCTAGATGATCATCCATAGTATAACTGTCTTTTATTTGTTGTTCTAGACGAGAAGCTATCAATGATACTGCCATACACAATATTTGAGCCCCTTGGACTCTTGATAAAGCATCAGCAGCTATATTTTCCTTACCACTTTTATATTGAATTTCATATTCAAAACCCATCAGTTTAGACAACCAAAATTGTTGGAAAGGAGTGGAAATCTTCTGTTCCAATAGCCATTTAAGGCTTTTCTGATCAGTCCTTATAATTAAGGGTTGAGAACTCAGATATTGCTCCCACTTCTGCACAAGAAACACAATTGCTAATAACTCATTTTCATACACAGACATTTTTTTCCATTTAGCTCCTAAGGCCCTACTTATATATGCCAGATGATGGTCTTCTTGCATTAAAACTGCCCCAATCCCTTCATTAGATGCATCGGTTTCTACTACAATTTTTTTTTGAGAAATCTGGAAATGCTAATACTGGAGCAGAAACTAGTGTTATCTTCAGTTTCTCAAATGCATTTTGAGCACCATTATTTCATTCAAAAGCTCCCTTCTTTAACAAATTTGTCAAAGGTTTACTTATAACTCCATAAAACCTGACAAATTTTCTGTAATAGCCAGCCACAGTCCAAGGAAGCTTCTCAATTGCTTGACTGAATTAGGAGAAGGCCAATTAGACAATGCTTCTACTTTTCTGGGATCTGTTTCAATCCTTATCTCTGAAATAAAATGCCCCAAATACTCCACCTTGTGCATAGCAAAGGCACATTTAGAAGCTTTAGCATACATCTGATTATCCTTCATAATCTGAAACACCATTCTTAAATGCTTCCAATGATCATCAACATTTTTGTTGTAAACCAAAATGTCATCAAAAAACACTAGCACACACTTCCTTAATAAAGTTTTGAACATTGACTTCATCCAATTTTGAAATGTTGCAGTGCATTGGTTAAACCAAAAGACATTACCAAAAACTCATAATGTCCCTCGTGAGTTTTGAATGTTGTCTTATGAACATCTTCTTCATTCATTCTTAACTGATGATACCCTGCTCTGAGGTCTAATTTGCTGAAAACTGTAGAACCAGCTAGTTCATCATTTAGTTCATCTAAAATTGGTATGAGAAACTTATTCTTAATAGTTCTCTTGTTTAACTCTGTGTAGTCAACACATAGACACCATGCTCCATCTTTCTTCCCAATTAACACCACTTGAGAAGCATATGGGCTGGAACTGTTCTAAATAATTCCATGGTTAAGCATTTCCTTCACCAAGCTTTCAATAATATCCCTCTACCTAAGTGGATATCTATATGGCCTTATATTCACAGGATCAGCTCCTTGTTCAAGAGGTATTTTATGATCATATATTTCTCTAGAAGGAGGTAAAGATTTAGGCTCTTCAAAAACCACCTCATATTGTTGTAGCACTTTCTGTAATTCATCTGAATACTGACTTTCCTTTACCTCCACAGCTGTGCAACATAATTTTGTATCTTCCTCATAGACAGGTACCAACTGCAAGAAGAATATTTGAGTATCTTGATCCAGGAGTTTATTAGCTTTTTGATTAGACACTGGCAGTTGATAACCCTTGAAGATTAACTAGACATCCCTTGCCACTCAAACTTCATTAATAGGTTCTTAAAATCCCACTGCACTGGTCCTAGTTCTGTGAGCCACTGTACTCCCAATACCATATCACAACCCCCCAGAGGTATTAATAAAACATCAATTTTAAAGTGATGTTGTTGAATCTTCCATATGAAATCTTTACAGATGTTTTGATGGTAGGTGATTGCCATATGCTACGGTTATTGTCTGTGACTTCATCTTTTCTATCTTAAGTTCCAATTTATGAGCCAAGTTTAGATCCATGAAATTGTGTGCGCTCCCAGAGTCAATCAAAATGTGAAGTGGCTTCTTTCCAGCATAACCTACTACTCTCATTGTTTGCAACCCTGAACATCCTGATAATGCATTAATGGAAATGCAAAGGTCCCAGATCATTGATTGCTCTTTTACTCCATTTACTTCATCACAATTCTCTTCTTCTTGTTCATCCTCTAATCCCTGGACCTCCACTGTAAACAACTGAGTCTTCTTGAATTGGAATTTATGGTTTCTATCATAAAGCTGATCACAATAATAACACTGGCCTTTAGGCAGCTTTTCAGCTCTCACCGAAGCTGGAATATAGGTCCTAGATCCAATCTCAGGATTGTTTTGTTCCTTAGAGAGGGCATTTTTGATAGGCAAGAACTTTTGTGCAGTAGTGGGAAAAGGTGGAGGCCCCTTTTGATAAGGCTGGGTGATTATGGAAGTAGCAGTTATAGTTTCTTCCTGAGATCTTGCTAACTCAATAGCTTCAGCCATAGAAACAGGTTTAAGAACTCTCACAAACGATTTAAGCGATGATTTTAACCCTTCAATCAAGCAGTCTAAAAAATACTTTTCAGATAAGGAATGAGTTCTTCTATTCATGCTTTTAAGTTCTTCAAACTCATCTATATAAGCATCAATAGTTGATTTCCGTTGGCATCTATTAAATCTTTCAACTATATCTTTAGCTGTTTCATCTCTAAATCTGGCTGTTAGATCCTCCTCAAATTCCAACCAACTTATGTCAATTTTATCAGCCAAATAATTGGTTGCCCATATTTCAGCTTTTCCCGACATATTCAATGCAGCAAAATCAACCGTATGTTCCTCAGGAGTTCGACACAATGTAAAATATCTTTTACATTTCTTGATCCACATACTACTGTTATTACCATCAAAATGAGGAAATTCTAATTTAGGAACATACCCTAACGATTTGTAGGAATTTCCCCCCTTTTCAATATGATGGTTGATGTTTGAGCTGTTCGATGAAGGCTCCTTATCCACCTTTTTCTATAAATCACCTACAATTCCAAGAAGGTGTTGAAATTATTGTTGAATTTCTTGCTGAAATTGCATCTGGGACTGGATGAGAGCTTGTACTTGCTCTTCCATGGCTTCAATGACGAATTTATTACGCAATCTTGGCGCGGAGTGTTGCACAGGGATACCAATGTAACAGGAGATTTACTCAACTGTTATTGATATAGAGTCATTCAACAACAATTTGACTCCATTGCTAAATGCGAAGGAAGAAGAGAGTAATATTCAATGAAATTATCAAACTGCTTTATTCAATATCTTTTCGTTCTTTATATACAGTATAGTTTAGCTAGTTATTACATCCAGCTCATCAATATTGCAACTAACTATCTAACTGATTGGCTGACTAAACTAACGGTAGGTATGACTACCGTTACAGAACTGAGCTTGGAAGGCCGGACATAAAAATAGAGATACCGAATCAAGAAGTGCTCCGGCCAGCTACTGGTGTGCGCATGCGCTCGATTTCCGGTGACGTTTTGCTCGCGTGCGCGTGCATTAAAACAGAGCTCCTCAAAATTGAGAAAGGTTTTGTCAAAATTGTATGTGTGTGCGCGTGCGTAATCAAGATTCAAGATTGCGATTAGGGTTAACATACATGCGACTAAAATTACTTGATTTTTTGTTTGTTGCTCCTTTCGTATAATCTACCACCAGAGATTGTAATATGTTGTAATTCATAATCAAATCAATAACAAAGAGATTAAAAAATTGTCTTGATTGGTGGCACTGGTTTTGCGCCTTTGAAGAAGATGTCGATAAAACCTTTCCTCTTCGGAAGATGCAAAATATAATTTTTTTTGTTGGGGCCTTTATCCGCAGTGCCGAAAGATTGAGATTCAGTAGTGGTTTTTACGTATATGATCATCATCATCATTACCCTAGTGCTGCAAAGACTCTCACCTACGGTGTGGTAAGGGGGATCAGATGTACGCAGCCTTACCCCTATACTTAAGCACAGAGAGATTGTTTCTGATGACTAGGAATGGACTTGGGCCGGTTCGGGCCCGGTTCGGGCCTGGGCCCGGCCGGGCCTCGGTTCTAGGAAGGCAGGCCCGGAACCGGCCCGGATAACCCCGGGTCCGGTTCGGTTCGGGTCACCCGCCCGGTTCACGGGCCGGGCCGCCCGGCGGACCAGGCCGGGCCTATTTAATTTTTTTTTTAATTATTATATAATTAGAATAAATCTTATTACAATTACAATATATTATATTCGAATTGAAGTATATTTATTTCAAATAAGAAGTACAATTGAGAATTAGGATGAATTTGGAGAAGATGAAGAATGAAGATGATTGAATATGAGAGATTAAGAGAATAGAGAATTTAGATTTTAGAGAGTAGAAAGAGTTGTAGAAGAAGAGGTGTAAAAAATGTATAGAAAATAGGAGTATAAATAGGTTTTTTTTGTATACCCCACCCCCACCCCCACCCCACCCCCCTAACCCCCCAGACCCCCCCTCCTATGCTCCCAACGGCTATAGAGCCGTTTGGGAGGTCTCCCAACGGCTAGTAGAGCCTTCAAATTTTTTAAAAAAAATTTTTTTTTTTTGTGACCGTTGAGGCCCGGACCGGGCCGGTTCACCAAATTATAAGCCCGGGCCCGAACCGCTACATGACCGGGCCGGGTGGCCCGAACCGTGACCTACCCGACAAACCGGACCAGTCCGGGCCCGCACAGTAGCGGGCCGGTCCGGTTCCGGGCCGGTTGGCCCGGCCCGAGTCCACCACTACTGATGACCCATAGTGAAAATCGCGCCCAAAATTGCATTAACTGACTACTACGGAGTAATTCATAACAAAGAAGTGCATACAATTTAGTGAGCAATTTTGCTTTATTCCATCATATTCTCAAGCCAAAAAAATAGTGAATCTTTGGCTCCGTTGCAAATGATGAAAATTTTTATGTATATGATGAGCTAAGAAAATCAAGTGAAAATGTTTTGTTGAGTCACCTGTTAGCTTGCTAAAACCAGAAAGAGGAGCAACACTGAACAATTTTTAAATCCAACTCAGCTGCACAAAAAATACAGTTCCATTGGGGAATATATTTTAACCCCATTCTCTATTTTGCTGACATGGCAATACACTTCTACCGATCCATGTTCCCATTAAAGATGCTCTAATACACTCATACATCCACGGCCCACCCTACAATTTCAAAGTATGATTCCAACGAATAAACCCATATTCTACTGTACAATCTCATAGGGTAGATTTCAATCTATTAACTCGAAAACCGAACAAGTTTGCACATATCAAACCCGAACTCATTCGTCAAGCATTACACTGGATGGACTACAGGTAGAATTTCCCCTATACAAAAGGAGATAATCTCAACACGGAAATAAATTACACTCCGTACAAAGGAAGGAATAGGAAGGCAAATTCATATGAAGTACACAACCACACACTATTATTGCCCTGTCATTTGCAAGGCAAGATCCAACCTAAAACTATGTATGAAACTAGCACACTGGACATTTCAATTTCAACATATTATTTCTAACTGAGTAAGCTGCAACTACAATATGAAACTGTGACTCGAAACAAACATCATTAAACTAGACTCGCCATAACTACTATATATATTCATTATTTGTTGATCCCTTGACTGCCCAAATCAGATGCAGCTTTTGCTGCTTTGCCCAAAACGCCCGAGACCCATAAAGCACCTTTGGAGAAATAGGAGCTTCCGACAACTGCATTTGCAGCTGCAAAAGCGGTTTTCCCAGTAGCCGATACAGCCGACTTGGTGCTTTCCAAAATGTGTAACTTCTGATCCACCGATCTAACAGCTTCAACCCCCGCAAAAACCTTGTTGGTAAGGCCTGCCCTCTCACTTAAAACAGCCACCTTGGCTGCTGCAGTGGCTGACAATTGATATGATTCGTCAAAAGCTTTAGCCTTACCCAGAGCATCTTTCCCTAGCACATACCCTTTTGACAGCATTAATTTGACCACATCTTGTGCAATGGTCACAGCTTCACCCGCAGAAGGAATGTACTGGCGGCCTTGTGCATGCCCCTAAAAGGATAGATACGGTACTCAGCAAGTGAGACAAGACAACAATATGCCTGCTACTATGCGAGTATATCTAGTACATCTTTTGGGCTGTTACTCCTGTTAGCATGGAAGGGAAGGTTTGGAGAACTTTTTATTAAAAAGTTATTCACTATAAAAATGAATTATTAACTTATCACGTGATCGTATAAAATTTTAATCACCTTTTCTTTGTTTTCAGAAAGAGTATATATGTCAACATCCATACTAAGTCCATTAATATGGTGTTAGAAGACATGGAGGATAATAAGAAGGGAAAAAATGTGAAATAAACAATTGGCTAAAGCTCAATGAATTATTTTACTTGTTGACACTCATTTTACTTATGTCTATAATATAAACACTAAGAAATTTAATTCTACATATACGATAGTATATTAGATCAAACAAAAAGAACTCTTAATTAATGCGAGAAATGAGAATCGATGTAGTGCATTGGATATTTGGATGTGAGATCTAATGGCTCTAAAGGTGTCAATTGTGCATCTAAATACATCAAAATATAATCATATCTTTATGATATTGTCGCCACATTTTTTTACCTGATTTGATGCACAATTGGCACCTTAGAGCTGTTAAATCTCACATCCAATGCACTAGACGTTTCTCATTTCTCACATTAAGACTTCTTTTGTTTGATCATATATATAACTAGATTACTTAATGTTTATATGATAGACATAAATATTAATTCCAGGGTCCAAAAGTACCCTAAGGGCCTAACTGCCTAAGAAGAACAATCTTAGGCCTCTTTCATTTTTAGCCATTTAATTACTTTAATGGTCTAATTTCTGTGTTCATTAGTATTAACTATTGATTTTGACCATGAGATTTAAAATTTGTATAAAAAAGGTGAGTGCTATGGTATCTCACAAATAAATGAGGATACCGCACCTACAATACATTTGATTGGTCCAAGTCATGATCTCATCATTTATTAATATTTAAATTGTTCAATTGTAATATTCTATTTGGTCCACAAAGGCAAGGTACGGTAACTTGAGGGTACCATAGAATTTGCCAAAAAAATGGTTATGACTAATTCATTATTAAAAATAGAACTTGATGGTAAAACTTTTTTTAACATGAGCTAACGGTTAAAAGTAATACTTGATGTGAATATACATATTACATACATACATACGTGTGTGTGTGTATGTATATATATATATACAAGAATGTTCAGGTCCGAACGTTTGGACCTGAGGCGCCGTCCGAACACCGCCGTTCGGGGCGGTTCCCGGTGGAATTTTTTGATGAAATTTTTATGGAATGTTCTTCATCAAGTCTAGTTTATCCATACCAAATTTCAGCTCAAAATTCGATTCGGAAGGCCTTCAAATGATTTTTTGAAGTTGACTGCGCTTTTCTATGTATAATTTGGTGCAGTCAAATTCAAAAAATCATTTGAAGGTCTTCCCGGTCGAATTTTGAGTTGAAATTTGGTATGGATACACTAGACTTGATGAAGAACATACCATAAAAATTTCATCAAAACATTCCGCCGGGACCCGCCCCGAACGGCGGTGTTCGGACAGTGCCTCCTGTCTGAACGTTCTGACAGGATAAGTTCTATATATATGTATGTATGTGTGTGTGTGTGTGTATATATGTATATATATGTATGTATATATATGTATATATATATGTATATATATGTATATATATATATATATGTATATATATATGTGTGTATATATATGTATATATATGTATATATATACGTAGTATATAAGAATGATGTCAGATCAGCCTGACAGGATCCGCCGTCTAGATGCCTCCATTTGAGGTGCTTCACGGAAGAATTTTTTGATGAAATTTTGTGAGCATGTTCTTCCTGAAGTGTAAATTATGTTCACCAAATTTCAGGTAAAAATTCAATGGAAAAGTCTGTTAAATATATTATTGAAAAAATACTGCGCCAAAATATATATAAAAAGTGCAGTGTTTTTCATACTTTCTCTTTTTCTACTTCCCTAAATAGATATCTTTCCTTGTTTGGTAAAAAAGTTGTTACCATAGTTTACTACCCTCATTTAAAATTCCTTATCATAGCACAGTGGCAAGCTGGGATATCAGAAGGAATAATATTGATTCATTAAAAACCACTCCAAGTTAAAGAGTGAACCATTTAGGAAGACAGAATAGTTCTATAGGGTACTGATCATCTCTGCTTGATTACAATGTAGAAACATACATTTATCGGATATTAAGGGTATCTTTCATTGGACTCTTTTCTCTGTACCCGGATTGTATCAAAACATCATAATAAGAGATAAAACGAATAAAATCTGAAGTACCCAAAACTAATTGATAAGGAGTAGTAGTTCATGAGCAAAGAGAATTACAGCTGATTCACTTGCTTCTTGTGGCTTCCATGCAGACGGGTTCCAATAATCACATTCATCTTCATAGTGTCCCCAGCGGGTTATGCATACACGTTGATCCAAAATTGTTGCACCCTGTGCAACATTCAGTTTAAGGGGGGCCAATAAACCCATGAAGTAAAAGGGAGGGGACGGGGGGACCACGTACTCAAGCAGGATATTTTGAGAAGATTTATTTAAAAGATGAACATATGTGTCCAAGTTATGGAATTAAAGCATATGAACATTTATTACAGCAAAATTTATCTAAATACGGGGTGGAAATTTACGGGAAAAATTGCAGACATCCAATAGTTAAACCTGATTATGAACTAGTTTAAAGGCATGTTTTGGTAAAGGTTACAACTCAACAGTGGCGTAAGGACCCAAAAAATTGGATTTAGGGAAGTCCAAAAACTAATTCTATTTATATTCCGCCACGAGGCCATTCTGTCCTTTCATGCCTGCCCAATAAATACGAAAGCAATGTAACTTCGTCACATCTCATGACATGGATCAAAATATGAATATCGCTACAGTTAGATCGTAGCCCATAAATAGTGTGTCATCCTACGCCTGCGGTGGTGACAAATATGGAAAGGTGCATTACACTTCATAAGCCTGATTGTGATAATAAGTATGCTAAGGCTGCTAGTTCATCACCGAGAAGGGACACGCCATCCCAATGCTCGGGGATGAAGTAAAATATGCAAGGTTAGGGTGGGGTCAAGATCATGATAAGAATAGGTGGAATTCTAAGTTTCACTTTGGGACATGAAATGTTGGGTCTCTTACCGGAAGATCATTTGAGATAGTTGAGATTATGAGGTGGAGAAAAATTAGCATTTTATGAGTGCAATAAACTAAGAGGGTTGAAGACAAGGAACGAGAGATAAATATTGGAGCTTACAATTTAACGTATTCTAGAAAAGAGAGGACTAAAAATGGGGTAGACATTATTGTGCCGCAATGAGTATATCGGGGATGTGGTGGAAGTGTTGAGGAGAAACGACCACATTATGAGCATTAAATTGATGATAGTGTAAGAACCATGTCCGCCATTGATACTCTCAAAACCATCACGATTTAGGCCCACATGCATGTTGAGGTCGCCTCGTATGACCAGCTTCTCTCCCCTTGACACTCGTTGCACCACTTCTTGAAAACTGCAATAAGGTAAAATTTAACACAACATTGAAGATCTTTAGTTAACTTGTTAATAGAAGCAAGGTTACAAGACAGATTTGGGACATGTGGGACTTTAGAAAGGTCAATTGATGAGGAAGTTTTGACATTTCCTATCCCCGCAATGGCTTATAGGAGTCATTTAGAACTTTTACTTTCTTATTTCCGACACAGGGTTAGGGTTTATATAAGAGAGAGGTTTGAAATAGAGGTCACGTGAACTATTACACTTGAGTCAATGATACAGGTGTTTTTGACTTTTCAGAACAACAATATGATGCAATTTTACCATTTTGGGCATAAGAACAGGAAGGAGTGTCTTGGTTGGAATTTTTTGTGTAGTTAGAAGTTGAAATGGAGCCAAAGACTCACTATTTTTTGTCTTGGGAATATGATGGAATAAAGCAAAATGGTCCACTAAACTGTTTCTGCTCTTTTGTTATGAAGCAGCCGTCAGTCCATGCGATTTTCACTATGGGTCATCCGAAAACGGTCTATCTGTGCTTTAGTACAAGATTAAGAATGCGTGCATCCGACCCCCCTTACCCCCACTGTAGGTGGGAGCCTTTGCGGCACTGGGGTGATGATGATGATGGGTTAGAAATTGAAGAAGTTGTTATATTTGTTCCTTTGTGAAAGTAGGCTACTTGCAATTGACTTCCTGGTTGGTTCCCATGAATCTTCCAACTAGTCTCTCGTATGCCACAATTTCTTACAATGATCATACCATGGCTTTTTCTTCTCATCTTTTCGGACAATCATTGCTGAGGAGTCTCCAGCTTCATCATTCTGTCCTGAATTGTTGTACATAACCTTTCTCCTGCTTCCTTCCTAGAATTCTTCCCTTCACATCATCTAAACTTTGATTGACTTCTACTAGAAACATGTAGTCTCTGTCATTCTCCTTTCTCTTATTGTGTTTGGCCACATCCCTTGCACTTTCCCACTCATCATTGTGGCACTGATCAAGTTCGTGCCATAGAGAAACCATCTCATTGTAATAAGTTGTGGCATCTCTATCTCCTTGTTTGGATTATCAAATCATCGTCTTTAACTCAAAAATCAGAGAAGAGTTCTCGAGTTTCGAGAATGTTTCTTTGATGGAATCCCACACCTCCTTTGTTGTCACTAAAGAATTCTTTGACCTCCAATTCAATATTCCAGCTTTCCCCTTCCATCGGTTGTTAGCTTGACAGATTGAGACCACTCCACTCCAGATAATTCTTTCCATTCAGTCTATGACCAGTGATGAACATAGATGAATGAAGGTGATTTACTATCAAGCTAATTTGTGAGGTAGGGGAAGAGATGGTTTGTGACTGGGAAGATGATTTAGGGCTATTGATTTGAACCATCGTGATGATGTACCTAATGCTCTGAAGTTTGGGGAAATACTTTTGTACATATTCAATAAGCCATATGGCATCTAAATGTATAGTGTGTAAGAATAACGATCTATGCGCACCGTTGCCTATAAAATATGATCCAACTAACCACTAATAATTATCTAATAATTAACAATTTTTAACAGATAATTATCTCTAACTAATCACTAATATTCCACAATACACATTTACATTTTTCTACATTCACTAATTGTTTACGCGTGAAATATTGAACATAACATGGCATGGTCCGGCCGGGATGGCCCTATTATCTACGCTTATGATTTAGGCATGACATATATTGAAATATAAACTAGAATAATAATGAAGAGTGGAGGAAAGATTTTATGTGTTTTTCATCGAAGGGTTATGACCCTATAAATATACATTACAAAGATAGAATATTTCTATAAGATTCTATACAATAATAATATCCTAGAGTATATTCCTAAAATATTCTAAAACATATTCTAAAGTATATTCTAATATCCTTCACACTCCCCTTCAAGTTGGAGCATAGATATTTATCATGTCCAACTTGTTACATAAATAACCAACACGGATTCCATTTAGTGCTTTAGTAAACAAATCTTTAAGTTGTTCTTCAGTCTTCACATATCCGGTAGAGATCAATCCTTTTTGTATCTTCTCTCGAATGAAATGACAATCGACCTCAATATGCTTTGTTCTCTAATGAAACATTGGGTTGTTAGCAATATGTATAGCAGCATGGTTATCACACCATAGTTTAGCATGCATTAGTGTCTTCGATCTGATTTCACTCAATAAATTGTTTATCCAAATTATCTCACATGCTGATTGTGCCATAGCACGATATTCTGATTCAGCACTCGAACGAGAAAACACATTATGCTTCTTACGTTTTCGGAGAGATAAGATTACCACTAACAAAGACGCAATAGCCAGATGTAGATCTTCTATCATCTTTAGATCCAGCCCAATCAACATCTTCAAACCATTCTATTCTCATTTGATCATGATTTTGATAAACAATACCTCGTCCTGGTGTCCCCTTCAAATAACATAATATATGCTCTACAGCATACCAATGATCAATTGTCGGGGATGACATATATTGACTCACTACACTTACTGAGTACACAATATCTGGATGGGTAACTGCGAAAAAATTAAGCTTTCCAACCAATCTTCTATAACTTTCCAGGTCTCCAAATGGCATGCCTTCATGAGTGAGCTGCACATTGGGAATCATGGGAGTATTGCTCGGTTTTGCCCCTAATTTCCCCGTTTCAACTAACAAGTCAAGTACATACTTACGTTGAGATAGAAATATGCCTTTTTGCTTCGTGTTATCTCAATACCCAAAAAGTACTTCAATGAGCCTAGATCTTTCGTTTGAAATTGGCTATGAAGAAAATCCTTGAGGGCCAAAATATCTGCATTATCTCTCCTTGTAATCTCAATATATCAACATACACCACAAGCAATGTGATACCTGCTTTTGTTCTTCTGTAAAAGACATAATGGTTTGATTGACCTTTTATCATTCCAAACCGTTCAATTGATTGACTGAATTTCCCAAACCATGCACGAGGACTCTGTTTAAGACCATAAAGAGACTTGCGAAGTCGACAAATTTTACCATACCCCCCCCCTCCCCGAGCAACAAATCTCGGAGGTTGCTCAATATAAACTTCTTGAAGGTCACCATGCAAGAATGCATTTTTAATGTCTAACTGATGGAAGTGTCAATCATGAGTTGCAGCAAGTGAAATAAGTAAACTGACAGATGTTAATTTAACAACAGGAGAAAAAAGTGTCAGAATAATCACCATCATAGGTTTGAGCATATGGGTTAACCTTAATAGTAAAGACCGACTTACATCCAATAGACTAATTCCCTGTAGGCAAGTCTATCAAATCTCAAGTACCATTAAGATCCAAAGCATTCATTTACTCTACCATGGCATGACGCCATTCAGGATGAGACAAAGCTTCTTTAACAAATTTGGGAACATGAATATAGGATGAGTACAAGACCGTGTACCTTTACGTAGTGCTATCGGGAGGTCAAGATCTGATGTAGAGAGAAGATCTGGAGATGCAGGTACTTGTTCGGGACATGAGATCGAGGTCGGATCAGTATGAGGATAAGTAATCACAAGTGTCACAGGTGGAGGGTGATCTCATACTTTGTGTCGATGGGTGTATACCAAGTGTATTGGAGGCCTAGAGTCAAGAACAGTAACTTGGGGAATTGTTGGACAGAATAATCTATTTTAGGTTATTGGACAGAATCATCTATTTTAGGCGCATAGTAATTGTAATTAATTGTAGAATTGTAGAATTATCTCTTGCCTTGATTAGAATTGTATTTAAGGTAGATTATCTTTTTGATATTGTAGATCCTTTTATTCTAGGGAATCAATTAATTCCCAGGATTTCCAGGATTCTCTCTGTACCTATTTAAGTTCGGTAAATGAGAAGAAAATTAATTCCGCCTATTTTCTTCTTTTATGGTATCAAAGTCGTATCGCCAACTTC